AGACTGTCCAAATTATGATCACTGGGAAATATATGCTGAGGCCCACTCGCTGATCCGTCTATAAGGACTCAGCCAATATCTAAACCCTTAGGGCTGTACCCACCGGAGACAGCCCTGTTTGATAAAGCCAGAACCAACGCCGTGGCTTCATTCCAGGCCCTGTGGCCTGGCTTGGGTCTAGGTATGCTGAACGCTTAGCGTACTTCGCAGAAAGAGATACCTGGGAGGGTGACAAGAGAACAATGGAGGACCCCCTTGCGATCCGACGCTGATGCCAGCTTTCCACCCATGGAGAAATGAGTCTAGGAGGAGGAATGTTACCTACTGCTCCAGCAGGGCGAGTGGAGAAGAGATGGGAAGGTGGATCCCAAAACTGCCGTTGGGTCATGCCGCTCGACTGAGATGATGATGCTGTGACGATAGATTGTTGACCACCGCCTACAATCACTGATACGTTCACGGCTACGAAGAAGCATCGGAATATATGAATGCTTAATGGGGTTCTGCTATTCAATTCCCAATTTGTTCCTTATCCCCGGATCGGATGTTTTGCCCACGTCGCCAACCAGTTTGCACAAATATGTATCACCGCTGACCCGGGCACCCCGGTTCATGGTTGACTCGCAAAGTTTATTTCCAATTCCATTTCAAACTCAGCTTGATAAACACTAATCGAACTTTTCACTCGTCGGAAATAAACAAAGAAAATTGGGTTTCTCTCCCCTTGGCGCACTTCCCATCCGGAGAGACCTCTTGAAAGCCAAGCACTGTTCTTGCATACTGGGTCAAGCTTGGGAAGGTGGTATGATGGCGGGAATAAGGTTTACGACCATCCCAATCTCAGTAATTCTCTCGCACACTCTATTCCCATACTTTCAATGACAGTCTCTGGTTTTCTCCGACGACAGTACGATTTTGGCAATCTCGTATCAGACTCTTGTCTCCATGCATGCGGCGGCAATCCCAGGACATGGGTCTTGACGACAAAAAAATAAAGATGGGAAACCTACATCGGGAACTGTGTTGCCATTAATCTCACGGCATCGTGGTTCCCCTAATATTCACTTGCTAATACTGGCAAACTTCTCTCATTCAAGTATAGATTGTACCATTATTTAAAATCAAATCTTTTTTGGCCAACACCAGTGCATTCTCATTTAAATTTGGACCATGTTTTTCCAATCGTCTACCTTTAGAAATTTTATTCGGCAAAGACGGGGAGTTAATTTTTTTGTAGAAGGAAAGCGGTGCTGGCGAGATATCTCATTCTCTTACAAGATCCCACCACCTTTCTCCTTCCTGCACCCTCTCTCTCCGAGCGCCGACCTCACGCGTCTCCCCTTCTACCGTAGTCGTCCACTGTCCCTCCGAAAATCGCTTCCTGCCGTCTGCGACCCCTCCCACTCATGACGCCGTTAATTGGTTCCCTCCAACCCTGACTGATCGGACTTCTGAACTCCCGCGGCAGAGTCTTCTCTCCTACTTCTTCGTCTCTCTCAGAGAGAGGGTGGTAGGGCGTTGTCGAGAGTGGCAGCACGCGCGATGGGAACAAAAATAAAGAAGAGCGCAGACGCGAGAAGCGAAGACGGGAGGGAGTGGTAAGGAACGGTGAGTGCTAGGACGGGCTACGTCAAGGGCGTGGATAATAAATCTCTCTCTCTCTCTCTCTCTCTCTCTCTCTCTCTCTCTCTCTCTCTCTCTCTCTCTCTCTCTCTCTCTCTCTCTCTCTCTCTCTCTCTCTCGTCCTCCCACCTACCGCGACTTTTCCTTTTCTCGCGTTCCTTCTCCCTCCAATATGTAACCTCCCTCTAATTTCTCTCTAATACGAATGAGGGTTTTGTCTCCTTCTCCTTCAACATGGTATCAGAGAAAGTTGATCCCCCACCGCCACTTTAGCCTGAGCTTGCCGGACGCTGTCCTATTTTCTGCCATGCTGCCGCCGCCGCTGCCTGAAGAGGAGGCTTTATCTCTTCCCGCTGCCACCTTAGCCTGAACTTGCCGGACGCTATCCTATTTTCCCCCAGCCTGAAGAGGAGGCTTTATCTCCCGCCGCTATTACCTTAGCCTGAGCTTGCCGGACGCTGTCCTATTTTTCCCCAATCTGAAGAGGAGGCTTTATCTCCCGCCCCCGCCGCCTTAGCCTGAGCTGACTGAATGCTGGCTTATTTTCCGCCATCTTGCAGCACCTACCAGGCACTGCCACTGCATCTCCCCGCACCTCCACTGGCGCTGCCACCGCCGCCTCTCGCTGTGCCTTTTCTATTGTTCTCGCCACCCTTCTAGTGCCCCCAACGCTGCTTCGCAAGCCACCGCCTCCTTCTAGCTTCAACGTCAGCTGCCTTTCATGGAGTCAGAAATCCTTCCAGCGTCTCCATCTGTCTCTACCAACCACAGGGGGACTGCCGGCACCTTTGTCCCTATTGTTTTTGTTATGCCGGTGAATTCACTCCTTAATCAGCTTCACAGTTCGGGTCCGCCTCTCGCCGAAGACAGTACCAATTATCATCAATGGACACATAATTTTTGTCATTTTCTTAGCATTCATGGCTATCACCAATTTATTATGGATTTACCGCCACTTGCCAATGACTCCAACTTGTCCGATTGAATAGTGAAAGATGAGATCGTCTAAACCTAGATTCTTAAGATGGTCACTCTACAATTTATTGGGACTATCAAATATCTAGATACAGCCAAACAAATGTAGGACAAGCCCCTATGATTCGTTTGGGGCCAAAAGAAGCATCAGTCATATGATGGATATCTTCCGTAACCTTATTAAGTTGCACGGCACGTCATCTCCATAGCACTCTACATCTCTTACACTGATGAAGCTTGAGAATTTGTTGGATCAATATCAATGATTTCTCCCAATCCGAACATCAATCAATACTATCATCATGAGCTATTGGTGATCATCCATCTTGACTCTATTGATTCAAGCTTTGCCAATAAGGTCAAAGGCTTAGTCCTCAATAGAGTTACTCCTCCTACCTTGGAAAAAACATTTAATATTATACGGCGGACCGCTCCTATATTAACCCTTGCCTTGGCCCTTGTTTCATTCTCAGTGGTCACTCTTGAAGCGTCAGCACTTGTAGTTACCACTCTTGGAGCGGGTCGTGGTGCCTCCTTTGATCGTGATCGCAAACGGGGTCGTGGGTGTGCTATTCCTCCTAGCCGTTATAGTTTTCCTCCTTATGAGTTGAAGCAGGAACAATCATATGGCGACCAAATACTTCCAAAAGTTTGGGTATCCTGTGGATTGGCCTCACAAGCTTCCTACTAGCGGTGTCTACGCCAATGCGGCATTGCCTACTCCTGCTGCTCCTACACTGCCATCTAGACAACCTACTAGATCTACTCTCTTAACATCCTCGTCTACCAATGAGACTTGGGTTATTGATTCAGGTGCCTCAGTTCATATGTTAGGTACATCCTCCCTCCTCACCTATCTTAAGACCCTCAATTATCTTGTGATCATTACCATTCTAGATGGCCACCCCTGTTCCATCGCTGGCAAAATGGTGGCCACCATTACCTCTTCCTTATCCTTCACAATGTTCTTTATGTTCCCAACCTACATGTCAATCTTCTTTCAGTTAACGCCATCACCAAAACCCTTTATTGTTTGGTTAACGCCATCACTGTATGTTTTAGGACTTGTGGACAAAGAAGAGGATTAGTTTGTGTAGAAAGACTAGTCAGGGCCTCTATGAGTTGGTAGTAGATACACCTTCGGTCAAGCTGTTGTATTTATTTTCTTAAAAGTCTTCTTCATTGTTGTGGCATTGGCATTTTGGTCATGCAAACGTTTCAAAGTTGCATGAAGTATTACAGGGTATTTCTCTTTCTGAGTATCAATGTGAATTAGGTCAACTTAGAAAATATTTTCACTTTACATATCCTCATCAACTGTGTGAACAATAGTTTAAACTAATTCATTGTGATATTTAGGGTCTGGCTCGTGTCGCATCTATTTCTAAATTCTATTACTATATGGTCGTCATCAATGACTTCTCTTGAGCTTCTTGAGTTTACCTACTCAAAGACCACACCAAAGTTCTTTTTGGGATTAGTTATCAAATAATGTGTCCATACATGTCGCAACAAAATGATGTTGCTGAAAGAAAGTATTGTCATATTTTCGATATGACCAATACTCTACTATTAGAAACAAGGGTTCTAGACTATCTTTGGGTCGATGCGGTCCACACCTCAACGTACCTCATCAACCATCTACCATCATCTCCCCTTGGCAGTGAAGTTTCACTACAACATCTTTAGCCTAAGAGTGACCTATTTCCTCTTCCTCTGCGAGTTTTTGGTAGTGTGGCCTTTGTTCAAGATATCACTCCAAATCTCTCCAAGCTTGCTCTACGAGCCATCAAGGGTGTTTTTGTTGGTTATTCTAGCACTCAAAAAGGGTATCATATATATCTGTCTTGTCGTGTGAGCGAAAGTATGTTGTCTCAGTTGATGTCACCTTTCATAAAGAGTCACCATTTTTTGATGCACCATCTTCACTATCTATGCCTCTGCCAAAAGTTGTGCTCACTACTATTGTATCTACCCTAAATTTGACATCTAACACTAGTCACCATCACACTCTAGTTCTTTCGTTATCGCCTCTCAACTCAGCTTCTTCACCGCAGTTGTCTTCATCATCATGTCTTACATCCTCTAAAACTTCTTCATAGGCTGCCCTTACCAGACTAGTCTCTCCACAAGTCTCCTCGTCAACTCTTGACCAATCCTCATCTCCTTTTACAAGTCCAGCTCCCAAAGATGATCTTTATCTTCCTATTGCATTTCGCAAAGGTATTCAATTTTGAATCCTACATCCGAATATGGTATGTCACTCTTGTACCCCTCATTTGATTGCTAATGTAGTTTCTTATGATTTTCTTTCACCTAAATATTGTGCCTTTGCCTTTTCCCTAACTACTAAATCAATTCCCAAGTCTCACGTGGATGCTCTAGTGGTACCTCACTAGAAGATGGTCATGGGTGAAGAGTATGTCGCTCTCATCTACCGAGATATGTGGTAGCTAGTTCCTCAACTATGTGGTGCTAACATTATTTCTTGTAGATGGGTTTTCACCCTTAAGTGCTTTCCTGATGGGACGGTACACCATTATAAGGCACAACTAGTGGCTTGTGGGTTCTCACAAAAGTACGGCATCAATTATTCCCAAACATTCTCCTCGATGGTTCAACTTGCCTTGGTACGCATATTAGTCTCTATGGCGATGAATCTTAATTGGTCACTTCATCAACTCAACTTCTCCAATGATTTCCTCTATGACAACCTTGACGAAGAAGTTTATATGAAGCAACCTCTTGAGTAGGTGTTACCAGCAGAATCTGCCAAAGTTGTCCATCTTCAAAAAGCTATTTATGACCTTAAATAGAGTCCCTTAGCTTAGTTTACTAACTTCAGCATGTTGACTCACCAGTGGGGTTTCCAAGAGTGTAACTTTGAGCCTACTGACTTTAGGTAGTCATCTGCTTGTGACTACATTCTTTTGGTCATCTACATCAATGATATGATCATTACTAGAGATGATATGGCTAGCATCCAGGATACCAAAGTGTTTCTCTAGGAACACTTGGATATCCATGATTTTGGGACTCCCAATTACTTCTTAGGGGTTGAGTTTGCTTGCCACCCTAGTGAGGTAGTTCTTATCTAGCGGAAGTATGTTCTTGATATTTTGCAGGAGATGGGCCTTCTTGTCCACAAGCCTCATGCATCACTGATCAAGAGCCGGCCAAAGTTTTGGGATGAGAAATCTCCCTTACTCAATGATCCCCAATAATATCAACAATTAGTGGGGAAGTTGATTTATCTCATGATTACATGTCTGGACATTACCTTCACCATGAATCTCCTTAGTCAATTTATGCATAAGCCATGCAAAATTCTTTGGGATGTTGCACTTCATCTTCTAGCCTACCTCAAGCATGCTCTTGGGAGAGGATTAGTTTTTTGCCGATATGAACATCTTTGTGTGGCAGGTTACTCAAACTCTAATCTTATGGGGGATCGAGAAGACCAAAAATCTACCATTGGGTATTACATTTATGTTGGCAGCAACTTAGTGACCTAGACAAGTCACAAGCAGTAAATTCCATATTTGTTCAACTGTGAGGCAGAGTATCAAGCCATGCACAAGATGTCTTCCTGTATGCTCTAGGTACGTAATCTTGTTGAAGAGTTAGGTTATCCAGTACAAGGGGCTAAGCTCATGGACTGTGATAATGAAGCAGCGATGTTTATTTTAAATCATAAGACATTTCACCTACGTACCATGCACATCAAGACAGTATGCCATGTTATCCGTTAGCAAATTTTTGAAAGTCTGATCTCTACTGCATACGTGGCATCTTCAAATTAGTTGACAGATATCTTTACAAAGGGTCTTAGCATCTCATCCTAATGATACTTTCTCACATAAGTTGGGACTAATTGACATTTACACTCCCATTTAAAAGGGATGCATGTAGGATCCCTAATATGGGTGAGTGTGAGAATATAGCTTAGTGGTGGGCCCACATAGGAGATGAACAGTCCCTCTCTCTCTCTCTCTCTCACTCACTCACTCACTCACGTCCTCCCACCTACTGCGACTTTCCCTTTTCTCGCGTCCCTTCTCCCTCCCATATGTAACCTCCTGATTTCTCTCTAATATGAATGAGGGTTTTGTCTCCTTCTCCTTCAACATAGGATTTTTTCAACATAGTTAATGTGGCAAATGTTTATTGGAATATTCTAGTTCCATTTGGGAAAATTAGCCTTGTAAGAAATAGTAATATCCTCCTATTTGGAATAGGAAACATGGTCATTTCATATTATCTTCATATTAACTAATCAATATCTTGTTTGTAAATAATAAGGTTTGTCATACTTTAGGTAATGGAATAGTGATCATTGTTCTAAAATATTATAATTAATTTGGCAGTTCAAGATCACGGGTTCCTTAATATCTACAAGTATTATTATTATGTGCTTTCAGGAAGTCTATTTACTCTTAAAAATATGTCTAATATTTATCGCAGGAAATTCCTGTTCGTTCAATGAAGTACCGATGGATGCAGGTGGTGAGAGAGAGATGGAATGACCCCCCCCCCCCCCTTGCAAGGTACTAAGAGTAGAGGGAGAAGGGGTGCATGGCTCTAGCAGGGGGGGCCCTATTTTTCGGACATGAGAGGGATGGATGACTAGAGGGATGGGTGGAGAGAAGGAGAGGGAGAGAGAAAGAGACTCATAGGAAATGTGAAATTGCATGCAGACACAGCCCAGAAGGAAGGATCACGTTAAGAGCTGTTTATATTCCCGTAAGGCCCCAGATCCACGTTAAGAGCTCTTAGTAGCTATCTCTTTTCTATCTAGAAAACCTGCACCGATAGTATATTTGCTCATCATATCTTATTGTTTAAGAGATCTACGACTATTTTTGACCTACATAAAAAGCCACGTTTTAAGAAAGGACCGTATTTTAAAACAGGAATGAAATTTTGAAAAGCCCCTCCCGTTCTCACCCCTTGTGGATCCAAGGACAGCCCATATATATTTTTGTCTGTTCCAGAATTTGGAATTTCGACTCACTACAGTCAAGGTACGATATACCTGGCTTCTGGTATGTAAGAGAGAGAGAGAGAGAGAAAGACACAGACAGACAGACAGACAGAGAAGTGTGATGCCGCTTGGGTGAGGGGAGAGAGGACGGGCGAAAGTGAGAAAGAGACCAAGGAATGAGGACGAGGGGTGAAGCGATGGAGAGAGAGAGAGAGAGAGATGGGGTGGAAGGGAAAGAGGGTTGGGATATTTGGGTTTTCGGTAAGTTGATATTTTCTAGGGTTGGAAAAGATTACCCACTTTTAAACTATGGTTAACTCATGCTTCTATTTACAGAAGGATAACAAAGGGAGTAAATCCTAATTCCTTTGTGGTCTACAGGGACCCAAAGAACCAAATGGAGAGGCGAGGGGTTTCTCCAGACCAAGTGGCTTACATGAATTTATACTCAAAAACACTCTAAATTGTTATCTGGGTCCAAATCAGCACTATCAGGTCCTAAAATATCTACCCAAGTAGGCATCCATTGGGGGCCAAATGAGCATGAGGTCACCAACTTTGCCCAGCGATATTTCAAAACCCTATGCTACCGATATCAGTTGACTTTGGGTTGAAAGGCTTTCCAGTTGACAGCGGGAGTGCTTGGAATAAAAGGTTGGAGCCTTGAATCCAATTCAAGACACGATTCTTGAACAAAGAAACTACATCCTTAGTCCACATAACTTGGAAATTTTAATCATTGAATCCAACTTGCTAGAGCAACGCATTAGTCCATGAGAGAGAGAGAGAGATCTCAAAAAGGGAAAACTCGTGCTAGGGATGAGGTCGGTTGCAGCGTGAGGGCCTATAAATTGATTGGGCCACGGTTAAAACGACGCGTCAACTATTGCAGTGCTGAAAAGCAAAATTCAAGATACGTTAAAAGCGGGAAATTAACAGTAATAAATGCTGGGACGTCTCTCACGCCTTCTGATTTCGGCCTAATCTGATTTTGGGGCGATCTCATCCTTGTAGCCAATCCATGCTTCAAGATTTTAGGGCGATCTTGGCCCACCAGTTTTGATTTCCCCTGGTTCTGTGGATACTATTCTACATCCGCAGCCATCAGCATGATGAAGACGCGCCCCAAGGAAGACTCGCAGATGTTCATTCTTGACCTCGCACATAAAATAAACCTTTCTAATTCTCACACAACATTGATCTGATCGAGCTCTTCCGTGGGCTATTCAAGATTGAAGATTAAAGACAGTTTGGGCGGCGGGCTCTAAATCGAATGTAGTTTTTGAAAATGATGTACACACTGTTCATGTTAAGAAATTGCATGTGACAAAAAGCTGAACCAGGGAGCAGAAGTCAAACGGAATCTTTGGCATAAATACTTAGGATTATATGGCTACGCGCTTACTTCTTCTTCTTCCCACCTTTGCTGGATTTTGTGGCCGCAGAGGTGGAGCTCGTTGACGCCTCTTGCTTCTTGGTCCTACCGGGATGCTTTGGAACTAATTCACCAACCTTAATCATCAGCTGCTTCCCTGGAATGAATAGCAGCATATCACAACAAACGTATAAGTGAAAAATAAAGAGACTTTTGCCCTCACTTTGGTTCCCTCAGTGGAAAACTAGAGGAGAAAGGTTCTATTCAGTGCCCCCTTCTAGAAGCATGAAATCCCCACAGCCAATTCTCTCAAAGATTAGAGATTTTCTGTACTTAAATAGGATTTTTCATGGGGCATCATGGGTCATTAGATCGAGATCAATGACCAACTTCGATGGGACAACTTCAAGGATGGTGGAAAGATATTGTTTCTACCATCTCCAATCTCTCCAATTGTAGAGGCAGAAAATACCACAGCCTTAATTGCTAAAACAATTGAATGTCCTTAAAATTCCATCAATTCCATGCTCTCGAATTCAAAATCAAGAAGACACAGCTGAGGCTGACCTACGGGGAAACAATAAATGAAAAGAGTGCTCCATCCAACTCAGTTGAATACCCAAGAAAAAAACTTTCAGAGAGTTTAACAGGTTAATTTCCAGGACCATATCCTGGATATTATCAAGGATGCCATCCACCTGATGCATTCTCTGCACTCTACTCCTCTCACGATATTTTGTTTTTTTATTCCCCCTCAGAAGATTCTCAAAGAAAAGGCATAAGAAATCGAAAATGGGAAATAAACTCCACCATATTATTGGAGTGTGAACTGATTCTCAAGAAGGATATGGCCTTAGAAATACGAGCTATCTATGACCTGATTATTCTAGATAAAGCTCCCAGTTCCATATCGCTGTTCAAAGCAGCAATTTCCATGATAACTAATCAATCATAAGACGATCATATTAACTAGGTTCCTTAGGGATGGAATGTTCTCAGTTAACTTAAGCATGACTAAATTCGACAAGCCCTTTGGGGGAACTGCAGTAGCATTACTCCGAATCAAGCCTGCCTTTCCCACTCGAATATATCTCCATGCCAGCCAAGCAGAGAACCCATGGATATTTTCTCTTTCCACTCGAGTTCCATGCCAGCCAAAACACATTTTCCATTCGACACTATAGGGACACGATTGTGACCTGAATTTGCAATAGTATCTATAGAGGATTCTGGATCGGCGACAGAAAATTTCATACCTCCAAAACAAAATCCAACGTAAACTCCATGCCAATGGAAGACAGGAAGACAACTGGCATTCATTGATTCGTATCACGCATGAATCAACAAATCCAAAGCGACACGCAAAGCCCAAGAATCAAAATCATGTTTTGGATCTACTTCTATGGGCCATGAATGGTTAAATGGACGAATGATTAAATGTCTAGACACTGCCAAGATCTAGTACCCTCAACATCAGATGAAACTCAAATTTTGAAACCATCCACAATGTCAAATTGATGATGAAACTCCATGCAGAGTTTTTGGGGAGAAAGTCATACTTTGGAAGAAGACTTGCTGACCATAAACTTTTTCCCAACTCAGAAAAATGATGGTACTTATTTATGTGCAGTTTAGTCATTGTTATAAAACGTGTTGAATATCATTCATAATCATTCATAATTTATAACTGGATTTAACTGAAAAATATCATTCATAATCGAATGATGAAAATAGGTTGATCCACAAGGAAGAGTGATAAAATTGTGTCGATTTGATTATTTAAAAATTGATGCAAAATCTAAAATAATTATGAAATAACGAAATATATGAATAACATTGTTAATTTGATATTTTTCGTATTTAATTTTTATGTATATTTTTTAGACTTAAAATTTTTAATTTTTAATAATCATAGTATTTATTATATTTTTTGGAAATCTTTTACAACTAAAACAGAATATTAATACTTAAAAATAAATGAGTTGACCAAGTCAACGTTGATCTACAGAAGGAGAGAGAATGTTGGGCCCACAATGACATGTGGCCGGATAAGAGAAAAGGGAAAGAAGAGAGAGAGAGAAGATGAATTGAGGAAGAAGAGGCGGTGGAAGCTCATCCACCAGTGGTGGAAAAACAGCAAATTGAAGACTTCCAGGAGTTTAGATCGTCAAGTCCGAAGTCCAAAAACACTTGAACTCTGATTGATTGAATAGTTTAAAATTAACAAAAATAAAATTAAAATAAAAGCAAAAGTAAGTTTTTGATGATTGGCTTTATAAATTTCTAGCATCTCCATGCCAAGGCTAGAAATTGAAGTCTCCGCTACGCAGCTTGATCGCTCCTAGTGTCTCCGCGCCAAGTCCAAGAGTGGATGCACAGCTTGATCCACCCAA